CGATCGATCAGGCAATCAGTACTATTATTTTAAACGTCTCAGTACGCATATATTTTAGATATATTTTCCTTTGTTTATTGTCTTGGGCCCAAATACACGTTTCCTATCTGGTCATTGTATCTTTTCCATTTGATAAGTCGGATGGGCAATCAACTAGGTAGTTGTTGAACATTGGTGGTTGACAGTTGTAAATAACCGTGGATCGATAGAGGCCATAGCAGTTTCAAATCAAAATAGATTATACGATAAAGTGAATCATTCCTCATTGTCATTATATTGTCTTGCAAACATTTCAGTCAAGTTTGTAAAGCAATATGTATGAAAAACCTTCAAAAAGACATTTTTCCCATAAAATCGATGTGTTTTTAACTTAGATACTTGGTTTACCTAAAGAAAAAATGAAGAGTAGTGAAATACGCTGTTCGTCTTTTATATATTGACAGTTTTAAATGTCACTAGACACCTTTTGGTTTGAGTTACTTTTTTAAAATATAAAGATTATTTGTCGTAAAATTCTTCCCGAAATAAATTGTGAACAGAGAAAAAAACAAGCGCAACTATTCCGCTTAAGGGTGTATATGTTTACAGTGAAGTTGGAGGGAATTTACTGGTTGAAGTTCCGCTATTTGTTCATATGCATTTCTCTTTTTTATTCGAATTATTTTTGTAAGTTGAATTTTAATTGTTCAAGGAATTTTTTACTGTTCTGTAAATGGAAAATGTGACGGAATGAGACTTAAAAAAATGTTAAACTCACTAGACTGTGAGCTCATTGGTCACTACACAAGAACCAACTTTATGTTTTCTAGCCCTGAGTGTTGGTCAAATTCTCTCGGTCATTCTCTGTTATGGCTACCAGTCTAGGAGATTTTGATAGATGTTAGTTGGCTAGAGAAGACGAGCAAGAATGTGTGAGTTTAGTTTTTATGCAGCCTGAATAGCTCAGTGGTAACGTCACTTACTGCAACACTTGGTGACACCTGTTTGGACCTCATACAAGACATCAGTTTCCTCAAGTTTGCAGATACGCCTTGCTGACGAGTACCAACAAGCACGAAGCCTATGTGAAGCAAGATGTCCTGTCAATTCCCTCCAAAAAGCTGCAATCTTGAGATTGTATTGTTGTAAGCGTAATGTATTATTACTAGTTCGTGGAATTATCGACTTTTGTTAGGAATCAGGTCATAGACTGTTGGCTACATGATTGAAAGTCTAGAAACAACAGAAATCCAAGAATGAGATTCCCGCCTGGTTTAGAAGATTTCAAAGTCTTCTAATCGTCGAGAAATATTAATATCTGAATGATTTCTACCACTATTTTTTTTAGGAATGCTTGTTATCCCTATTAATTTCTATTATATTTATCCATATAATAACACTATATTTTGTTGCTTAGGTGCTAAAAAAGTATAATTTATTTAAATCGAGATAAACATATGTCACTTTTCTTGTTTTTATGGTCGATCAATGTTTATTCTCTGACTTCTATAGGTTTATTAGATCATAATGCAATGTTATTCTGAGTTTGTAGACTGTTTGATGGCTCATGGTTAAACAACCAAATTTTTCTATCTGTATAAAATAAACTTATTGTGTTATCTGATATGAATTTCGTCTAATGTAGCCTTAGCCTGCATGATATGTTGTTGGTAAGTCCATGCGGAATACAGAATGAAGGTGGTTTTTATCATGTCTATCAATTCAATGCTTAGACATGACTTTCAGTCATACAGACACATGAAAATGATTAGGGAAATAGTAAATATTCACCGTATAATTCAGTTTAGAGGTTTGTGGAGATTTATTTATTGATTTTAAGTTCACATTCATCATGAACTGACATGAGTTGGAAATTATATTGGAATTCTGGAATTATTGATCAGCTTTTTCATCCTAGCATGGGACTCCTCAACAGTGCACATCCGTGAAGATGTGTTGAGGGAAATTAAAGAGTTAAGCTACAGAGTAAAAATATTTCATCGAATAGCTCAAAATCAGGTTTAAATGTAATTCTGCTAGGCTAATTAATACTGAAGAACGAGGAAGAAAGTGAGAAAGCTTTTCAAATCAGTAGCTAGATGATTATTCATCTACCTTCACTTAATTTATCTCACAACCAAAATTGTAAAGTACGTGTTCTTGCGTCACCTTATTTATTTTAAAATTTAGCTATCATGGTTGATCTTGCGTTATGTAGTTTGAGGATTTAATAAATGAAGTCCCTATGCACAGGGGATACATTGATGACATCTTGGTAATATGCGACAGACATAAGGATGCAGCAGGTTGATTGGAGATACTTAGTACTTTACAAAACTATTACAGTTTATCGTGTAAAGTAGAAATGGCTAATCACATTCCCCTTCTGAACAAATTATTGGCTAGAAGGGAAGATGAGTCGTTAAAATGATCAGTGCACAGAAAACTTATGCTAGCTGAACAGTACCTGAATTCCCGCAGCTTCCGTCTAATGCAGTACAAACGGAACTTAGTAGAGTCCTTACTCAATAGGACTTAACGTATCTGCACAACAAGTACTGTAGAAGAATAAATCAAACTCTGGACAAAGACTACTGAATAACGCATATCCTTTGAAAAACATTAATTGTCGAAAGAGATGATCCAGTATTTCAAATTCTGTCCCGAAAAAGAATGTGTACACGATGTTACCATAAAAAGGCGAAACAAAGGTATTATCTTAAGGCAAAAGGTTGATTAAATTGTTCACAGAACATACTGTGTAGCTAAACTTATTATACTTGAGAAAACAAACCCCATGCTCCAACATAAATCTCACAATATCCTGTTGTGTATACTAATTTATGTGTGTGTTCGAGTCACATACATCTAAGGCAGGAATCGAACAAGGAAGTCGAGGGTGACGCATTAAAACAGACGGTAGACAGCCATCCCCATCACCAGGCACATTATAGAAATAGAATATAGGACTGACCCAGAAACAGCTTTTAAACCATTACATGAAAACTATCAGGACCGCTCGCTTTTCCTGCTTCGTATTGTCACGCTGTATAGTATATTTCTTTTTTGCCTTAATTGTCGTCAGTCTATCATTGTCATTTTCCGCGTCGCCAAATATACTACTTATATGCATCGTTATAAGTAGCTGTCACTACATAGTTTATTGTAAGTAGATTATAAAACTATGGTTTATGAAATATAGCGAGATACTAGAATGAAGGTGTTCTTTGTATGTTGATATACTAGCAGATCGGTATTTTTCCAGAGGTATTACCACAGTTGGCAGGCCGTCATTATGAATAAAAGTATATTACGGGTTTTGTGCTCATATTTGCCCTCATATTTTTGTGCCTTCTAGAATGTTTGTTTTTCTATTACCACGTATGTTTAGTATCTTGACATGTGCTCAGCATATACCCATCTAAGGCATTACAAGTATTAAGTTGATAATAAGACATTAGAATAACTTACACAAAACTGTGAGCTTTACATTGTTCTAAACAAAAGACAAATATGAAAGACGAATATTCTTTTCGAAAACTTCTCGTCAGGTTCTACAGTTATAACATCAATTTCGTTTACATATTAATAGCCAGAGTTTACGGCAAAATGCATTTAGGAATGGGTATGGATTTATAATTAAAATTTTATTATTTGAGTTTGTGGATTGTGGTGTAATTTATATGTGTAAGTCAGTTGTGGTGATAAGCTGAGTGTAAACATTGTCAATTGATTATTGATCACACTTATGGGGAAAGAAAATTAATAATAAAGTTCAAGGTTCCATCTTATCGAGTATTATATCACGAGTGATCAGTACAAAGGATGATGACATGAATTTACCCAAGGGCAGAAATGGAGTGGATATGTCATCATAAGATGATTAATATATGAAATGACTAGGATAATGAGAGTAATAATAATGCGACAAAAATATGTGAACAAGAATTTCAAAGGTTTATTATAATAAGACGGGAGAAAGGTCTGGTTAAAATTGATAGCAATAATAATAATAATAATAATAATTTTAGAAAGACAGAGAAGAAGAGAGTAGGGACGAGAACAGGAAGAAAAAAGGAAGATTAAGAAAAAAACAGAAGGGTTGAGGGGATACCGTCAAATCAATGGAAAGCCAAGGGAATAGTAGGGGTTGGATGTGTTCTTTTTGAATAGAATGTTCAGGCTTTCGTTTATCTTAAGGCTACAGCTTCGACTATATGGAGAATGCGTAAACGAATGGGATATGATAGAGTCTTCGGAATCCGGTATATCACAGTGAAAGCTGTACTAGTATCTATTTGGTGTCCTGTATCTATTAAATGTGTTGTAATGAAACTTCTAATGGATTTGATCTCACCCTTTGCGTACCATGCCAGTAGGTTACACTGCAATCCACAAACTTGAAGGATCGAAATCTAATTATAATTCCATACTCATTCCTAAATGCATTCACCGTAAATTCTGGCTATTAATATGTTAACGAAATTGATTTTGTGACTGTAGAACCTAACTTTAATGTATGAAATGGGAATTTTCAACTGTCTGAAATTGTATAATTCTCTAGAAAAAAGTGATGAATGGATGCACTCTTCTCCTTTACTAAGTTGTGCTAACGACATGTTCCCGGTTACGTAATACTGACAAGTCAAAGAGTCAACTTCAGAAGAATCGAATATATCTAGGATGTAATATAATTGACTACATAGAGCTCTAGTTAGGGAAAATCTGTGTGAATAGTATTGGCTAATCACCAAGACTTCTTGTTATACACAATATATTATCTGGGTAACCGATGCATCTAATTTATTCAGGTTTATATGTATTATATATAACCAGAACTGGAACTGTATCCAAGAGTTACGGATTCATAATATCTGTCTTTTAATATGCACATTCGGAAAGCATGTTGAATCCGAAAAGCTGGATTACAATCGTCCTAAACATTTAACAAGTAATTTTGTGAATTGTTTATAAAGTGGATCTTTATTCCATATCTTTGTTAAACTGTTTTAATATCAAAGGTGAAACTAGTTTGTCCATCGGTTGGAACACAAACAGTTAAGTCGTGGCTATGGCGTGAACCAGTTCTACCAAGTTCAACGGAATATGCTCAACTTCCACAAGGTCGACCACCAAGTCGTACAGTCACAGCTACCAAACCTGGTCTTCATGAAGGTAAACATGTTGAAATTGGTCCAGATTTGTCTTGGGCTCGAATCGTTGACCCTTTGTCGCCTGAAGCACCTGTCAAATTATGGTGTCAGTTTATGATGCCTTCCCCATGGGTTGGAAAGGTTAGTTTACACTGTATCATCGATAAAAATCCTTAGATTCTTTTTTATCTAACCAGAATCAAAGATTGTTTTGAATATTTCATCAGGTTATTCAAGAAAAGACTAAACACTTATTCGTTATAAGCGAATTAATATATCACGTTATCCCAGTAAAGTCAAAGCGTTTCTTTGCACATATAGTTGCCTATGTAGTTTAATATTTCCGAGAAAATTGACTTTTGAAGTGTCACATAATTTTTTGGTCTAACGTCAATTTGGATCCATTTCGAGATAAACCCAACTGATGAAGTTTACTATCTTTTTGTGTTGTTCGCTGAAACTGTGAAAATCAGAGGTATTTTCGGTTGAACTAAACTTCAGTGACTGTAACTCAAGTTCACTTATGCAGGGACCAGTCAGAATCAAGAATATGAAGGATAAAGTAGTTACTAAGGAAAATGCTACTTTATTGACAACTTACTAATCTGCTTTACCTAAGAAATAATTATATCTAGATTTTAAATATATTTACCACCTTTGAAACCATACCATTATCTGCTTTGCCGCTGATCCATATGAGATAATATCATTTAAATAATGTTTTGCAAAATTTCTCGTCTTACTCCCGTTATAGATCTTAGGAACTCTCTAAGACGACTCCACATATTTTCACAGTTGTTTATATGCAATTCAGTTATCTACTCGACCGATTGCCTTCTATGAACAATATCTAGATGGGGATTACCTACTTTAAATGAAGGCATATATGACTTCCAAGCGTCTGGATATATTGTGACACCTAATGCTATGTATTTTCACAAAACTGCTGCAATAGCTTTTTCATGTGCACAAAATTATGCACTACAATGCGCATAACATGAGTTCACTTTAGAAAATCAGCCTTTAATTTCGTATAAAAAGTATGAAACAGACGAGCACTCTAACTTACTTTCTGAAAAGCGAAAACTGAAGAACTTTAGAATTTAATCTCTACTAAAAATTGATCTCAATTGAAATATGCATAGTGAATCAAGAAAGTAATTGGGATAAAGATAACTTTCAGTAAAATAGGTGGTGACTGAAGTAAAAGTGATTTTGGGATACCAGTGAAGTTCATCTAATCTGTGTAATAACTGAGTGGAAACTGAACTGTGAGTAGACTAAGATATATCGGTAAATAAACAATTAACATTCAATCAAGAAAGAGAAAAACATCGGTAATCTGAACTGAATTTCGTTCCAGGATGTTTATACTGAGGTTCATACTAAGTTACTAAGCCTACAGTTAGACACTTAACTTTATTCTCTCAAAGGAAACACGCACATTTATGAGTAGTGTTTCTGTCTACTCATGTCCTTCAGTAGTATATTTCTTAAGAAGAACTTTTATCGAAATTTAACGGGAAATTTATGAAGGCCAGTAAGAGAAATCATTGTATGCGTTTAAAACAAGTATACTGATTCCAAAGGAAACACCTTAAGTACTATTCAACCTGCGAAACAACAAATTCTCAAAAGCTTATCAAGCGAACAATTGGGCTGAACTCCATCAAAGTGGCACCTTATAGCCTTAGAAAAATCCATATTCACTCAATTACTTCACTTTTTTGTGAAGCACTGATGCGCCAACGATGATGTCCAGCATGACATCAAAACGTTCGATAAAAATACCTCAGGTGATAAAACAGCTCAGTCTGAACATACATAAAGTGAGCTACTAATATTTGCAACAATTTTAGTATACTATTCGTAATCCTGGTTCGTCATTCACGTTGAGTTGTATAAAGGGTAAAAAGTCAGTGAAAGTTTGTAGACTTCTATGTTAAAGCTTGTAAATCTCCAAAGCGATTTGTCCTAGGTTCAAGTTTTGGAGGAAAAAAATCACTCACTGCAAGGCAAGCAAATCCAGCTAACGGGCTCTAAGCAAGACGAGAAGGGCGTCCCGGATTTCACCATTGGTTTTCTAGACTGGTTTAAATCATTATTTACACTAAAACCACTTTATTCACCATCTTATTGATAGCCTTTGAGGAAAATTGAGTAAAAGCAGCAACAAACAATGTAATATTTTCCCCTTAGCATGATCTCGAAAATTCTTTTGACAATAATGTACAGAGTTCTAAAAATGGTCACATTAAGCATAGATATATCTATTCTTCTGATTCAAGTGACAGTTTACTTGTTAAAGGTCTTAAAGTTTCGCAACATAGGCACACTTGCTAGTCAATGGCTGACACTTGCGACATTTCTTGACCAGAAGGCTGCATTTGACCATGTCGACCGTGAGGTGTTGTGGCAGGATCTGAGTGTAAAGGGAGTACCGAGGAAGCATATAACGCTAACCAAAGCCCTCTACCCGAACTCACACAGCCGTGTAACAGCTTATGGAGAATTATAATGAGAAGTGCCGACAATTAGTGGTGTCCACTAGGGATAACCACTGTCAAAGTTCTTGATTACCATTGTCATAGTCGTACTAAGGGATATAACCTCAAGTACATCTGACTTCAGATGAGTTGACCTACTCCCTGTAGGTATTCTGGTTCACTTGAAGTTTGCAGACGATATTATTCTGCTATATGCAGACGCTGACAAATGTGGGGTCTTCTCAATGCGTTGAATAGGAACCTGAGCATATGTTTCTCACATGTCAAATTTAAGATTACGTTACAGGACTGGTCTACTGCAAGTGCTCCCAGTTTAATGATTAGGAGTGAAGTGGTGGAATGTATTGACCACTTCACTTTCTTTGGGAGCTGCATCAGCCCAAGCGGGTTGGCTGCTAACGAAATCTCAGCTGGAATATAGAGTCCTGTTTGGCACTCGCCAACTTGTGCCATTTGTGGCGCTGACTGGCGAGATATCCGACTATCTATCAAAGAACGGGTATACTGTGCTGAAGTCTGTTCTGTCCTGTTGCACGGCCGTGAGACATGACAGTCAAAAGCACAAGACACAAAGGGAATACATGGTTTTGATCACAAATGTCTTGATAGTATTGTTGGTGTTTGATGGAATCCTCTGTGTGATCGGTTTTGAGGTCAGGCTAAAGGTAAGAGACAAGACAGGTAAGTCGACTTATGAGGTTGTGAACTTAAGTCAACTAAGGCGGTTTGGACGTGTGTTGCACATGCCGAACCACTACCGACCTCAACCTGCCATGATTGGGAAGTTGGATTAGGTTAGAAGAGAGTTCAAGGTGACGAGACCAAGACTTGACAACCCTTGATAAATTCTTTGATTGTCCGTCTGAGCCATGTAGAGAGATGTAGACTGCCTGCTTGGGGTCCTCGAGACGACAGGAATCAGTGGTTAAGGACACCACATGGCTTGGCCGGAAATCGACCACTCTCAATGACTCAGATATATCCACCGTTTGAAATCTTCTAAAGCTTGAATATTTGCACAAACATTCACCTTCAAATTTCTTAGTATCCTAAACGACTTTGTATAGTTTTATATCTCTCTTTTTCTATTCCCCTGTTGTTTGTGTACTACTATGAAGTGTGGCAACTTGAGGTGATGCACCTGTGTGTGAGGTTCTGTGTTGATTATTTTTCTCTACCTGTCTATCAATAACTTTTAAATTCCATTCATGACAGCTGACTTAGGTTTCCACTGAAATATATGAACATGCAGTTGGTTGAAATTAAGCAGTAAGAAACCTTCTTATCCTATTCTGCTTCAAACGGCAACTAATTAGATTTAGTTTCTGAGTAAAGAGTATCAGAATTCTATGTGTATATTTGGCTATCTCTTCGTTTACTGAGTTTTAAAAAATTGTACAAGAAACCTAGAACGTTAATCGAGTTGTGACTCAGGTATCTAGGCACCAGACTTTCAACCAGTGGGTCACGATTTCGAACCCCACTCCACCTACCGAGGTTTAGGCAGTTAGAGAGTATAATTTGCTATCGCATATTAAGTGTCACTTGTTGCCTACTTCATGTGAGTGGATTCACCTGCTGAAGGTATTTCGATTGAATAAAATTCTGAACATGAAACCGGTATGTTGATATTTGTGTAGAAATGAGTACCATTTCTTCGCGCATCGTCAGCTTGAGGAGTATACCACTGTAATTTCATCTAGATGTTTCTGATTTCTTACTAGCGTAATTTTAGAGCCAAGTCGTACATTTCTTGGGAGGTACTCTTTCTAATGTATTCACTGCTTCTGATAGCGTTCGCCAATTTGTCACTTGTGAAGTCTAGTTTATACGACAACAATAAGTTGCAGGCTTTTTCAATATGAACACTAAAAATGGCAAGATGAAGTAAACAAAATGAGTAGACTGTAGAAATCTGACTTTAAATGTGGTTGTTGCATCGCTTATATATAGAAGAATGACGAAGGAGATGATTTTTAGGTTAAATTTAAGCATGAGAGGTTGGTCAACTAATGAAGATTTGAAGCCAAATAGGAAAGCATTCTTCATTACAGCTATCACCTGCCGTGAAGCCTGATAGTTACTGTAAAATAAATAATGAGAACAAATTCAGAGCGACTATATCTATAAAACTTTCACTCAGTCATTTAATCAGTGTCATCGCTTCGACGTCTTTGGTCCATATGAAATCTCTTACCAGGATCCTAGATATCAATAAATATGGAAAACTTAGACATACAGCCATCGTTATATAATTACTTCGCTATTTTTGTTACTACTCAGATTTTGCCAGTGTTTTCCCTTCAGCTGATGTTCAGTTTTTTGACAGTGTGAACCATGAAAATGGTCCAATATTTACTAATTCGTTAATGACGCCTGTTTTGCGATTGTTTCCTACAGTTAACAAAACGATGTCGGTACACATAGTGTTTTGCCCTCCATTGGATTACCTTCTCACATCCATGAAATGATACAGACTACACTATCGAAACAGCTAAGTGGTAGATCTGTCGACTGCTTTGGTCAAAACCCGGGTGCCCCGTCACCTTTAACCACGCCTGGTTAACTCGTTCACTAGTTACTGAAGCTTAGATGGTCAGAATAATCTAAATAAGCGACAAGGAACTCTGGCAA